CAACTATTTTAGTACACGACGCCTAATTAATTGAATAATATACATCGAAATAAAAATTGGGTCGCGCATGCGTATGTGTGAGTGTGTACGTTTCTGATTGTGTCTGTGTATACGTGTGTGTCGAAACAAAGAAATAAAGAAATTTATATTACGCAATGAAGAACTCGTCTCGTCTCATTAACAAGAGCGTGCTACTGAAAGTTCCTACTTACAACTTGTGTAAACATGTATATTTGGACGGGTGGATCAATGCCAATGTGCTGCAAGTTCATACTGCTGTTTTGTCTCAGTTGTACACAGGTATGATTTACTGCATGAACCAACGAAAGTAAATTATTCAGATGTAACTATCTCCATTTGAAACTACCACACGCTCCTAAGCTTTCAAGCCCCACTGTATAGACTTCCGTTTAAAAGCTTTCTAGGGCATGGATCTTGATCCTAGTAACGAACATTGTGTAGTACAACGGAACTTAAAAATGGCCCACTTTTTCTTTGTAGACTGCTCAATAAAGTTAATTTTGCCTGAATTAGTCAAATTAAGCCCAAAAGTCAAAAGCTAGTTGAAATATGAAGAACACAGTACGTATATTAAGAGACTAATAATTTCCTTGATTTTTTTTTGGGGGGGGGCTGGATTTTGTGCGATCGTATCTGGTCATCTTAAAGTGTTTTATACCAATATTTAAATAAAATAAACGGGCTTAGTATGCGGTATTTTCATTTGTATTCCTGCGTATTCGATGCTATGGAAACAAGTTGCAGACCCATTGTGAGAAAACATTTAAGATATAGCTTTCAGCTGTGACCTCATGTTATGTCATATAAGTAAAGATTATAAAGTGTGACATAATGTATGTATGTATGTATGTATGTATGTATGTATGTATGTATGTATGTATGTATGTATGTATGTATGTATGTATGTATGTATGTATGTATGTATGTAATACTTATTGCAACTCAGCACAATAGTGACTATATGGTGCCAACTAAAACTACAATTCGAAAAATTTAAAATTGAATGATTGCAAGACTTTAGGAAAAAAATCCATTTAAAATAAATATAAACATGAAGCACAACTAGATTTTAGATATAGTAGAAACATCTCAACTATAGAAAGCAAAAAAGAATATAATTCTTTAACAGGTAAAAACGCATTAAAGGTTTTTTTAATATATATATATATATATATATATATATATATATATATATATATATATATATATATATATATATATATATATATATATATATATATATATATATATATATATATATATATATGACAGTCTGATAATATATATTACTAATTAGATATATAAATAAATATGTTATAGCGAATACGAGAATACGATGTAAGGTAGGTGTGTATAAATGTGATTTATGGATAGAGAGAAAAATAAGAAAGAAGGTGCATAGACAGGTAGGCAGTTATTGTTACTTAGACTAAGCCATACACGCTCCAAAGGCAACACCGCTCCAAAAATACTTTTAACGCCGCGTTTATAACTGTCAACAAATATCTGATTATAGGTTTCACTAGATTTCAATTTGTAAATTCGTCAGCAAATTGACCAGGATAAGTAAATAAATAGCTTGGTTCGCAATGAGCACCTTATTACCTGATAGGTAAAGTATACCTTATTCATCCGAACACATTGGGTGCTTGTACGAAATTTGATCCTCGCTAAAAACTTCGTATCACTTCATAAATCAAGCCTACCTGCAAATAAAGCTTTTCAAAATTAATTGACGTGCATGATAGGTAAATAACAGATGAAGATGGAGTATATCTAGATTTGTAGTAAGGTACTTTCCAATAATACAAAAAAGCGCATGTTCATTTTGTTATAGACCTTTACATCCATGTGATCAAATTATCATTGTATGGTGCGAGTACGCATACATTTTCCATGCGTTATTCGAGTCAGAGAATAGGCAAGCATGCTATTAATGTTCGCGTGTTTAATGTATCCATGCATGCGCGTATTTTCTGTAAGTAAATGTGTATACAATCGTTCATTCCTGTGCTGTTATGTGGTAAATCTCTTTCCGTCGTAAAAAAAAAAAACGAAAAAAAAGAAAAAAAAGAAAAAAAAAACCCCACTCATCCCGATATAGCAGCATTTTACCGTAACCGTTGCAGTGAAAGACCATTAGCCAGGAGCTGATAACGGTGATTGTAGTAACTTAAGGACTCACGGTACTAATGGTATGGAAAAATAGGAACCAGCCTGGAAATGGATGAACATTGGATAGAGTATAAATGGGTTTGGATGGCCAGAATTGGTTAATAATCTAAGTTATGTTTCAGTGAAAAATTCTTTCGAGAGCTTTTCCTAGTTGTAAGTGACAAAAATACAAAAATAGAGACATTGTTTTATTGATGGAATTACGGTCCTTTCACAGTCTTGAGCTTGGAACGCTCATTACTAAAATTAGCACCTAACTCTTTGATGCGGAATTGAAAGTACATGCTTCAAACACATGCAGGTCAAGAAAATGTCACGGCTCATATCTTTTCCTCCACACAGAAGAGGACATCCAGGTTTCATCTATACTGATAAATATTGGTTTGATCATGAACACTCAGAAATTTTAAGTTATTTATTTGTTAATATCATGGTGTTTTGCAAGGGGTTTACTATAGGAACTGAATTAGTACCGTGATTCATTCCTATAAAAATGCTTTTTCTGAGGAGGTTGTATACCGTCAGTTTTATAAAAGTGGTGAAGGCCACTATTGTATCCTATTGTCATAGTGCGTGATGTCACGATGTCGATGATTCTGTGATACTATAGCAGCGATAAGACACTGTGACCATGATACGATGGAAATGTGGGCAGAGGTGAAGCGTCTGAAGAAAAAAAAAGCGATTCCTAATTAGCACCATCTTCGCGGTAGTAAAGGACACACGGTACTAATGGTATGGAAAAATGGGAACCAGCCTGGATATGGACGAACATTAAATACAGCATATATGGGTATGGATGGCCAGGATTGGTTGATAATATATGTTATGGTTTAGAAAAAAAGAGTCTTTTGGGAACTTATCCTAGTTGTAAGTGAAAAAAAAATACAGACATTGTTTTATTGATGGAATTTCAGTCCTTAAATAGTCTTGAGTTTGGAACACTCACTAATAAAAGTAGCACCTAACTCTTTGGTGAGGAATTGAAAACACCTGTTTCAAACACATGCAGGTCCAGAAAATGTCGCGACTCATATCCTTTCCTCTACGCAGAAGCTGACATCCAGGTTTCATCTATACTGATAAATATAGATTTGATCATGGGCACTCAGAAATTTTATGTTATTAAATTTATAATATCATGGTGTTTGCGTAGTTTTACTCTGGGCACTGAATTAGTACCGTGATTCCTATAAACAGCCAAAAAAATGTATTATTGATCTCCGTGAGAATCTCTTCTTATCACGTTATGCGATTGTGTTTTATTAATAAATTGACCATTATTTACATATATCGACACTGGTAACGTTTTGGAGTATTTTGCAGAGCGTACATACTTTTTTATCCGTAAGAAGAGGAGTTTCAATGTAAAACGATTCAATGACAGCGCTTTATGGTGGGAAGCAATTTAATGTGTAACACTGCTTAATGTGGACTAACGCTGTTTATTTTAAAATAAAAAACTCACCAGTGTGCTGACACTATTCAACGATGTACTTGTTCTTTTCACATTTTTTTTTTATAAATTATGACAGGGTTGATAGAGAATTCTAGCGACATCCATCTATTGAGCTTACTTGACTGCTTAATATGCAAATTGAAGGGCTATTAGCAATGCGTTTGACTTCTTAATATGCCACTTGAATGGCGATTGGTTATGAGTTTAAAGTTGTATGTTATTATCGGGACAAACATGTAATTTAAATATTCAGGCGCAATATACTTAACAGAAAACGTATTTATGAGCATAAAAAGGCAATTTGATATTATATTTTACGCGCAATTGATCACGGCATTGAGATGGTACTGAGATATCGCATTGTTATTACCTTGTGGCGAGAATCAAGATGCAATGAAGCGTGAAAATTTCGGTATAGATTGGGACTTAGGTAACAATGCAAGTGGCAAACATCACGATGCCAAGTAATGGGGGTATCCATATTAGTTTTCTTCCAGTAGATCTAAGTCCGATCCCTTGAATGACAGTCATATTACACGCATACCTGTAACAAACGTCCGTACACTTGTGGTCGGTTCTGATAATAGGGAGAACTACAAAACATTTCTGAAATATATCCTATAAAATAACTTGTTAAGTGCTTGTTTACCTTTTACTTCTTTTCGTCTCATCTTTCATCGTATGTACTTCTCTAATTAGTAATCCTCCAAAGTTTATTTTTTCTGGTTTCTTCAGTCTTTCGGTCTTAATGCCCGTCTAAAGGTAATGAAAAGTACAGGCCATTAGCTACCTATCCCAAATAAACATTTAATGTAAGCATAAATTTGATGCATATTGAATCTGATTGCATGTATGAGCACTATTCTAATTGTGGTATGTGTTTCCGCTAGTGCTTGAGAAGGCACGTCCCGCAAAACATGAGTGGATCAAAGTAGGAAAAAGGCGGATTTTATTAAAATTACAAACTGATCAGGTATGATATTTGAACAGTTGTATGCTTTAAAAAATTGTGCTTCGTTCAGATCTGCTGGATGTCATGATTATCATTCAATCGTTATGGTTAAATGAAGTATAGTATGACGCATCATACTTTATGACGGTGTGGTGTGGTGTTTATAATTTTTAACGTAGCTTTTAACAATTTTTCAGTCATATCGCTACGATGTCTTCAGTGTGGCAGTTTATAGTGATGTCTAGCACTGGGGCATCATGCGGCAGACATGTAGCATGATGTCCCACCCAGTCACATTATCCTGACACCAGGCTGTCCAGTCCAAACACTAACCTCTTAATGCTGAGCGTCAAGAGAGGCAGCTGTTAGTACCATTTTTGTAAGTCTTTGGTATGACTCGACCGGGGATCTAACCCAAGACCTCCCTCATTGGAGGCAGACGCTGTAACCACTGGGCCACCGGAGCGGTTTCTTAATGATGGTGAATAATAATATATATATATATATATATATATATATATATATATATATATATATATATATATATATATATATATATATATATATATATATATATATATATATATATAATTTGCTTTTCTACATTAGATTATACCGTGTCTCTTATAGGACACGTATAAGGAAAGAGCTGACACTTATTTATACAATTAGTTATATACATATTAGTTGTGATTTGGTGACATTTTTCTGTATTTATGAACTTGTTATTTATATTGTTTTATGCATGACATTTGAACACTGGATAAATTAATTCTTATCGTGGTACAATCTAGTCATTTGCAAAGACATAGGTGTTTTAGACACCAGGACACAAAGAAACAGTTAATGTGATTGTCGGTCTACATCAATGGAAAATATTAGATCAATGTCTTAGATTTCCTGTATTTTACCATAGATCCATTGTTAGAATGCCAAGGAAGTGGTTAGATATTTCAGCTCATGATTTGTTCTTGATAAAGTTTAGAAAACTGAATTGCCAACTGTGGTACCAAAGATAGTCCATAACATACAGCAAGACATAGGAGCAGAAATATGAATATCCTAGGCTGTTTATTTTGGGGGAGATCATTAAAACTTCACTTTTCCTTGACACTAACTGGATTTTTCAAAAGTGTCAATGGCATTTCATTTGGACTGCACCTTTGGATGGTAGTAGCGGGTAGGATTATTTGATATAAATTCAAAACAAAAAAAAATAGGAAAAGAAGGAAAAAAACAAACAAACAAAGAATACAATTATTTCACTAATATGCCCTAAAATTGATATGTGTAATAATCGATACTTAAAGTGTCATTGATTGTTATATTTATGTTTGAGTGATTTGGGGAAAGGTGATATGGCCCTTGAGTCACATCCTAAAGTTCTTCTTGTTGTTGGGTTTAATACCACTTTTTTGCGCTGACGCACGCGGTTGTATGTGTATGTATGTGCGTGCATACGTGTTCTTTTGCTTCCAGAAACTTATCCCCTGAGTCAAATCAATTACACTATTGAGATCTTCACACTAATACACTGACTGCGTATGAAGTTAGAAACAATTATCATGATTATCTCATACTTTTTATGTGTGCTCGATTTATTATCTTTGAGACAATCAGTCTTATTCAATCATTTCCATTTCCGAAACAAGTATTTTTCTGGTTTATTTTTTTATACAAAACATGCGATAGGTTTTTGTGTACCATTATGTTGCAGTTTGTCTCAGTTGTACATGGCTATTATGCATTGTCTGAACAAACGGCAGATTTGCTCATGCGAAGATAAATTATTCAATTTTTTTTACAATAACTATCTCCGTTTGAAGCTAGAAAACATATCTAACCTTTCAAATCCCACTGTATAGACTTCTGTTTAGTGAGATGCATTATTCATCACAAAGAAAAGCATTTAAAAGCTTTCTAGGGCAGTGATCTTGATAATCTAAGCAGTCCTTGTAACGAATATTGTGTAGTACAAACGAAGTTACAATGGGCCACTTTTCTTTGAGGACTTTGCCTGACTTAGAAAAATTAATGATATGAATTAAAAGAGAGTTAACATTTGGATAACGCAATTAGAACTTGGTGAATAGTCTTGCAAATAAGTGTGTGTGTGTGTGTGTGTGTGTGTGTGAGAGAGAGAGAGAGAGAGAGAGAGAGAGAGAGAGAGAGAGAGAGAGAGAGAGAGAGAGAGAGAGAGAGAGAGAGAGAGAGAGAGAGAGAGAGAGAGAGAGAGAGAGAGCATAATGGAGTACCCTATAATTTTCAAGACAAATAAGGAAGCTGGACAATTTTATCAAATAGGAAAAACGTTTTGAATGCATTATAAAAGCCATTAAAAAAAAACAACAAAATGATGCAGTAAGAAATGATTATTCAGTTAAACTGAGTACCTGTATAACAAAACCTTTAGTATTTCAGACGAAACATTATATTTGAAATCACAACCGAATAATAAATATCATGTTGATTATTTCATGCAGCTATCTTAATTTTTTTTTATTCAGTAATATCTAAATTGATTCTATTGATATAGTGGTCACATTATAAATATTCTGTTGTTGGTATATGACAAATATTTTTCAGAAATAATTTAAAATGAGCAACATGAAAGCAAATATTTATTTTGCTTTAACGTCTATTTTTCGGTTTGTCTGTAATTAAATTGAGCGAGATACGTTATTAAAAAGTCGTCAGTCTTACCATTTTGATAGTCCTTATTATATATAAAACGTTGGCTGTCAGTCATGCCAATATTTAAGCTAAGTCTAGTATAAACAGATTCTGGCCTAGTAGTGAAAACACGTGATGTTGTGTTTCAGGTTTGTATGTATTCGTTGCTATGGAGACATGATTTTGTTCGGTTGTTTTATTTTCAGGTGCAGGCTCACGGGCGAGGATGTACTATTAGATGCATATCTTAGCTGCAACCTTATGATGTATGTCATATGTGTAAAGATCAGAACTTATTGGGATGATAGTAGTTAATTATTGTTTTTCGATTAGGTTATACACGTTTACAGTCAACAACTATTATGATAAACACGTTTACTTGGAACGCATGTACACGTGGCAGTAATATCTGATTAAATCTGTCACCAGATTTCATCGAGGGAAGCACATGACTTGATTCTCAAGAAGCGTTTTATTACCTGACAAGTATAGGTTACCTATTTAATCCGGACACACGGGTTACTCGTACGAAAATAAAACTTAAGCCTGGCTAAAAATAATTGTTTAACATTATCGGAATTATTAAAATTTTTGTGTGTATTTTTAAGCGAAAAGCCGTTAAAAAACACGGTTCAAACTAAAAACAAATCGATTTTTCAATTTTCCTATATTAAATTCAGGCAAAATGGTCGTAAAAACGTCAAAATTTGACAAAAAAGATGGTAAAATTTATTTTTTTCAGAAATATTTTCCAATTTATTATAAATACTTTTTTCTGAAAAAATATTTTTTTTCAGTTATAAAATAATGAAATGTAATTGTGATTGTGATAGAAATCTTTGCATAGAACATCACTTCATAAATCACGCGAACCTGCTTAGTTAAGCTTGTGGTGGGGTGGGGATTTCCAGGCACATGCTAAAATAATGGGTAGATTATGTAACATTTGAGTAATTAAATATATTTATGCGTATTAGCATTGTAGTCGTACATGGTAGTAAGTGCCCATAAACAACATAAACTCATTTGAATGAACGACATTATGATATTTCACAACAATATCAGAAAGCATAAGTTGATTGCGTACACTCATATATATTGGCCACCTTGTATAGCCAGACTATAATGTGCAGACAAATGACGCTAAACCCAAAAAAGCAAAATCTACGATAAAAAATGAGCACTGTTTTTAGTATCTTTAATACATGCACGAATGATGTTTCTTGTGTTTGGGGTTTCGGGGTTGGGGGTGGGTATTTCTTTTAAACTCTTGTTCCCAAAACAAGCTCCGGTGTGTCCATCTTTCTTTGTAATTCTAAACCAGTATCTGCATAAACACAAATTATCAAGTAACATAATCATGTTTTATAATTCATTGTCAATAAAGATGATAGTTCTTCTATTTTCAGTCTAGTACTAACATTAGTACCCTTAGTCCTACCTTGTAGACAGGGTACTAACACGAGTCTATGTGTGTCAATGGACTAGCCGGGTGTGATTCATACCCGGATAATTTTTTAGCCTAATTTAAAACCATTTGAACATTTTCTTTGATATATAATGAAATAAATGAGTAGTCCTCTTATTTAATACTAAAATTATCGTAAATCATTGTAGAAATGGTGGTAAAATATCGTTTACCTTTCTTATCCGATAGTTTCGTTTTGATCGTCCGCCATATTAGCTCAAATAATGCCTACTTCCGTTCTCAGCCTCGTGTGTTTGTGTGTCATATAAGGATGTTAAGGCCTTATTTGGAAAGAAACATATCGTAGTAAAAAAAAATATATTGCGTTGTTCGAGTCAGAAATTCTACGCATTAAAAGTAAATACGGTTTGTAGGTGACTTTAAAATTCCACCAAGAAGCAATTATTTCCTCAACAAAAAACTGTATTCCGTAAGTTATTCAATTATCTATTCTCCATCTTTTCGCGTTATGTCATTCAACAACTAATACCATAGCGTAGAATATCCATATATGGTCTGGCAAGCCTAATGTAGAAAAGGGGTCACGGCGAGAGTCTCGCGCTATCTGTCTTGATGGACACGGTGAGGCTAGCGTAAATATGCCAATTTATTTTAGCGTGTAAGGGCTTAATAAATTCAAAATAAGCCAAACTTCTTTGACAAAATAATTATGCTTATTTTGTACATTTCTAAACTATTTGTGTTTCTGACTTTCGTGACGATTTTTTTTTTGCTCCATTACATGATATGGGATCAGTTCGTAGCCTCAACCACAACAAACCAAGTTGAGGCTACGACATCGTAGCTATTTTCATTGATGATTGGGAATAAAACCATATAGTGACGAATAGTGTGAATGTATAAACATATGTGGTGGTAACCATTATACAACTCCACGTGCGGAAAAATAATTTGTATAAAAAATATAAGCTATTTAAATAATACAAATCGTATAGAGACTACATTCAGGTGTACTGATAATATAAAGTATCTAAATCACGTGGTGAATACAGACACTACTAAGTATTTCATTATGTCGACACAGAACCCTTCCTTACCTGTCTGGCATAATTATGATAGTACACGACAGGTAAACTGGTCTTGAACTGAACCTCAATTCAAATAAGCTGAAATAGGTTATTTCTTGGTTCTAAAGGAATACTGACATTGCTGCTGGTTGAGTAGTCACGAAGACATGCGTGTTAATGTCATACATAGGAGTTTCCTGTTTTTAACGATTATAATAGCTGATTCTTATGAATAATTAAGGACTGATAGTACTAATTAAAATCCCATAGTAAACCAATTCAAACACCATGCTATTA